GAGTCCAGCGACATAGCCATTACACCAACTGCTGGTCCCCAGGTGTGTATTTGAGGGCAGGTGATGCTAGAGTTCCAGATGCCAAGCTAGGGGGCTATTAAAGCCAGTTGGCTGTCTATACGCCTGGGTTGGGGTCACCAGTGAGCATCAGGTTTGGGGATGATGTGAGACTTAGGTGACTTGTGTGAAGGTGACTTGGGGCTTCTGAATTGTTTCATGGAAACCCAGTCTGGGGAGGCAGATGTCTAGTTTGGGGCATCTTAAGTGGCCAGACCCCAATTTTTAACTGAGTCTGAAGATCCCATTGTCAAGCTGGGAGTGTTAGGGTGACGGAGTTTCAGTCCCATTTCCTAGTTAGCAACGACAATGGAAGTCACAGGCTGAATAGGGTGACAGCAGCTGGGACTCGTCTGTCTGGACCGTGGGTAATTAATCTTGAGGTCCTGATGTCTGCCTTGGGCTCAGTGTGGATAGCCTAATTTAAGTGTACCAGTTTCAGGGACTCAATGCCTAACTTGGGGGTGACCAAGTCTGACCAAATAAATACTTAGGTTAGAGGTGAATCATGGAGCTACTGTCATTTTTCTTTCTTTCTTTCTTTCTTTTTATTTTCTTTTGGAGAGGTTTTCATTATAGGGCACATGTGCTTGCCAGAAAGAGAGAGAGAGAGACAGAGAGACAGAAAGCAAGAAATCACCCCCCAGGGGGTATGGCCACACCGCAATCCCTTCTCCATTCTCCTCTCAGGATCTTGGACACACACGCACATACACCCGCATGAGTTTAAACCACCGGGTCTGGGACTTGAACTGTGATCGACTACACTACATGGGAGTGACATAGCCATTAAGCCAACTGCAGGTCCCTCATTTTTCTTTCTTTAAGGTTTTTTTTTTTTTTTTGGAGAGATTTTCACTGTAGGGCGCGTGCGCTCGACAGACAGACAGAGAGAGACATAGAGAAAGAAAGCGAGAAATCACCCCCCAGGGGGGATGGTCACGCCGCAATCCCTTCTCCTCCATTCTCCTCTCGGGATCTTGGGCACGCATGCACACGCGCCCGGCGTGAGTTTTAAGCCACCGGGTCCGGGACGTGAACCACGGTCGACTACATGGGAGTCCAGCGACATAGCCATTACGCTAACTGCTGGTTCCCTTTCTTTAAGGTTTTTGCCATAGGACACATGCCCTTGCCAGAAAGTCAGAGACAGTGGGAGAGAAAGTGAGGAATTACCCCCTCCCCCAAGGAGGAATGGCCATGCCACAATCCCTCCTGCGATTTTGGGCACATGCCCAATTTCAAGTTTAAAGGTACCAGATCCAGGACTTGAACTAGGGTGGCCAGTGGGAGTCTAGCACCTTCACCACTACACCACCTGCTGGCCCCTTATTTTGGGGTGACTGAACTAAGGCCCATATCCCTTATCCTATGAATGTCTTGGGCAGGAGGCCTTATTTGAGGATAAATGGAACTGGGGTCCCAGAATCCTCATTTCGGGGTGTCTGGGGCTAAGCTAGGAGTATGGTCCTTGGGAGTTTCTGAGTTCTGGTAGGTATGCATGTGGCCTGGGATGGCCTAGCTGGGCGTCTAGGCCTTATCTAGGGGTCTCCAATCTCTCCATGGGGCTCCTAATAAAAGTGGGGGTTCACATGCCTGGTTTGTAGGTTACATACTTCCTTTAAGGGAACCTGACACTAGGGCTCAGAAGCCCTACAGACCTGGTCTCTGGTCCTGGAGGGACCCCCAGTCCTGTCCCCCAAGACTGGACCCCCGGGGAGGCCCTTCCGAAGTGTAGTCCGTTTAGGGTGACTGGGGATCACATATCACATACGTAGAATACACGGTCCTGGTGAGGACGAGGGGGTCGCGGCGGGGTGGGGACGGGGGCTACAGCGGAGCCA